CTTCAGTGAGTAGAATGATCCGTTCAAGTAACTCTTGTTTTGTTTGGCAGTGAACTCTTATGGGCACCCACAAGCCCCCCACCTCTACTCTGGCCCATCACCAATGTACCCAATCTCCACCCAGGACTCAGCAGGATACAATCGCCCAGGTAAGAGCCAGAAGGCTTGTTCCACCCTCCACTGAGCAGTCTCTTCCCCAACCAGTTGTTTCACTTTCTCCTGTCTCTTGGTCTGCATTCTCTGCACTTCCTGGCAGGGGTGAGCCTTCAAGATTCTGAAGGCCAGAGTGTGGGCCACTGACTAGTGAGGTATATGTCATGGGAGACTAAATAGGACAGCCTTACTTCAAAATTATCTGGTATACCCTGGTCAGTGTGGCTTTGGTTGAAGTGTCCTCCCGAAACCGAAAGGTTGAGGGATTAATTCCTAGTCAAGGTACATACCTGAGTTGTAGGTTCAGTTCCTGGTCTGGGTGCTTGCGATCCTCAGTCTGTGCATGTATGATCTCTGGTCTGGGAGTGTATAAAGGCAACCAGTCAATGCTTCTCTCTTGCATTGATGTTCTTCTCTCTCCCTTCTTCTCTCTCTAAAAAGCAATGAAAAATGTTCTCGAGTGAGAATAAAATAATTAATTAATAAAATATAATTATCTGGTACCTTCAATAATGAAAGCAAGTACATTCAAGAATGTAAACAAAAGATAGATACCTAGAACATTTATATCTAGCTTTAGAGGCTAGATGAGCTGTGGCTTGTGTGGCTAAGGATTGAGTGCCAGCCTGTGAACCAAAGTGTCACGGGTTCTATTCCTAGTTAGGGCACATGCCTGGGTTGCGGGCCAAGTCCTCAGTAGCGGGCGCACGAGAGGCAACCACACATTGATGTTTTCCCCCCTCTCTTTCTCCCTCCCTTCCCTTCTCTCTAAAAATAAAGAAAGAAAGAAAGAAAAGAAGCTAGATGAGAGATATATGCAGGCAAATAAAATGAACATAGTATGCAAAACATAAAACGTACCTGCTTTGCGCCCATGTCTGCTTTCCTATTGCCTGACTTCTATTATCATGGGTCTGGGATCGAACTATCTCTGATGGTGGTAGTGCCAGGGGAGACCCAAAATTATCTTAAATAGTACAAAATGAACAGACCTTTCACCTTTAAATACATTTTAGAAAAATTACTAATATCCTGCGAAACCACCAGTGTTTTCAGTTTTGGAGGTGACATCTGAATCTTTGTCCTTGTATTCCTTATCCATGTAATACATACACACATTTCTGTGCTGCTATTTCAAAACAGTACATCTGGATGTTGTTTGCTACTGTTACATAGTCTTCATAAGTCTAAGTGTTAATGGCTGTAAACTATCATATTGGCATGGGACCTATTCCAGTTTATTTCCTAGGGCTTCACTGAAGTAGTGGCTAGCAACCAAAAAATTTCTCGGGGCTGATAAGGACAGTGGTTTCACCAGGCGTTCCTCGTGGTAATTGGGGGGCTGAGCACTGTCCAGCTAACTGACAGAATAGCTTCCCATCCACCCTTCTTTTAATCTCTTTCTCTCTCCCTGACAGCACATCACATGGTCCCTCGGCCACCGGTTCCACCTCCTGGTGCCAATGAGGAGATCCCTGATGACTTCGACTGGGACTTGATCACTTAGTGCATCACCGAGTGTGACTGTCATCCCAGGGCTGGGTGGTGAAGTCTGGCAGTGGGGAAAGAGCAGCCCCAGCCCATCCTTTCCCCCCTTGCCTGTATATAGATATATATTCTGTTTTTTTCCTTTCTCTGTCAGAGAAGCCACCGCAAGATGCTGCCGAAGATAACCCCTCTTTCCTGCCTCATTCTTCCTCTTCGTCTTGTTTTTTTCCTAATTCTTTTATTATTATTCTTATTATGTTGTTATTATTATTATTGGTTATATGCAACCCCCTGTCTCCTATTCCTATGCCATTGACCATGTGCACCCCTTGCTAATTTAAAGTCATCTGGCTGGAAGGTGAGGCCATGATGGCTACAGACAAAGGTTTCATACTTGGATTTATACCTTTCTATCTGAGAAATTCAATGCTAATCCCACCTTTCAGCCCTAAATTTTTTTTCTGTTCTTGTCAATTCAGTTCAGGACTGGAGAGGCCACATTTTCAAGTAGAAGGGATCTCTAACACTGCTTGGCAGTCATGACTTAGCAGGTTTTACTCAATGGTGCTAATTTTGTCCTTTGAGCTCTTCCTTGTCCCTTTATGTCTTCAATTCTTACTTCTGGCGATCCTCATTCCCCATCAGGGACAGGCATAATGGTGGTGGTGCCGGAAGGGGACAATAAAACCCTAGTGGAATAAGAGGCTGGACTGGATGGAGTAGAATACTGCAGCAGGGTGATGGAATTGAAAACATTTGGGAATTGGTAAATGATACTATGTCAAATCGAAGTCCGCTGGCTCATCCCTAGGCCATACCCTGTGGGAGATACCGTGGGTTTGAGCCAGGCCTCTGCTGCTGTGGTGAGCGGAGGACAGCTGTTCAGCACAGGTTCAGCTTTTTTGAGATGTTTTCAGTTTAACCCTTTTGGCTTTTTAAACATAACGTTCTCTGAAAATTAACTGTGGCTCTTACCTGCATTTACCAATTATTCTTCAGTCCCCATTTCCCATTCAGCAGATACTATTTTGTCCTCTTTTGGTTGTTTGCTCCAGTCTTCTACTCACCTTATTTTCTTGCCTTATTTTCTAGCACTCTTGGTTTCATCATGTTTTAAGACAGGATGGGAGTCTCTTTCCCACCTGTCATAGAGAACCAAACGGAATTGGTGATAGGAGGGTGGGGAAAGCAAAATGCTGCCGGCATTGACATGGGAAGGGAATATTTCAGTTACTTAGCTATGTAAGCAAATGCTTCTGTTGGAATCCAGATCATTGGAGCTGAAACTTTTGCAATAGTCTTTTGAGGGGTGAAGGCATTGGTAGTGTGGGGTAAATAATCTAGAGTGAAGTATCACTGGGGGCCAAGGGAAACCCCCAGAAAAAGGTATAGGGATAACTTATCTCCTTTGACAAGGAGTGGCCATGATTTATTGCTGCAAAGTACTTAGTGTATATGTAAGGTTAATTACTGAATTTTACTCATGGGGGGAAAGAGCAGTTTTACTTCTGTTTTTCTGTTTCTGAAAACTACAGGACAAATGTATGGATTGGACAGGGCAACTCTCTTTGGTTTCTACTTTATTATCATGTTCTTTTATTTACTGAGGATTTCTGAGAGATTTATCTTTCTACTCTCCTGCTTTTTCCTTCTTCCACCCCTTTTTCTCTCTGTAAGGGGTTATATATGGGAGTTTGTTGAAGAAGTCTAGTGAGGCTGAAGTAAAGGGGCAAGAAAGGGCAGTTGACTAAAGAGCACTTTATTTCTTCGAAGTTCTTTGTAAGAGGTGGGGGTGTGCGTGGCTTGAGTTCCCCCTGTTGTATTAGAGGGCAGTTAGTGGGGTTGAAGAATGATGTCATATTCCCACTGGGGAAAGGAGAATTTCTCTTAGAGGGCAGCACAATGCCTTTGCCCAGCGTTCCTATTTTGGGCATCTCTTCCTTATTCCTTCCAATCAAGGTGCCTCTTGCACACAACTTCCATCTATTCTCCCTAAGATGTCCCCTTTACCTATTATCACTCCTCTTTTGTAAATCACTTTTCTACTCAGATCCAGACAGGGTTTGCAAGGGTAGACTAAATCATACATGTGAGTAGCCCTTGTTTCTAATTCATCAGTGTCTTAAAGAAAAACTAGCCCCATTAAGAACTCTGGTGGGCTGCCAGAGTAACTGAAGTTTGGGGCTAGGGCTGGAGATTGGCCATCAGGACTCCTGGGACTTTTGGTCCCCTCCACTAAATTCAGCCTTGCTCAGTGGCACAGGACAAACCTGACCCTCTTTGGGCCTCAGTTCCCTGCCCCTCCATGAAATGGAAGAATACTACTTTTTCTTGTTGGTTCAGCATTGCTGGACCTGAAGTATAGTCATTGTATTGTATTGGGTGATGTGTGCAAAGCTGCAGGAGCTCACTGCCTGCAAGAGGAAATAAGGGAGAAGGTGAGGAGAGGGACAGAAGGAGCAATTGCTTGGTGTAGATTCACCCATCCCTGCCTTCCTCTCTTCAACCCCTATGTCTCTGGTTTGGTGAGTCCTTCCTACCACCCATAATGCTTTGCATCGGTGCAGGCTGGGAAGGGGATATGGTCTCACAATTGTTGTTGTTGTTTTTTTGCATGCTTTCTTAATAAAAACGAAAAAGAATGTTTATGGTTTTATCTTATTTGTGCTGGTCTCAAATTTCTTTTTACCAGGATAGGAAGAGAGAAATGTGAGACATTTGTTTTCAGTTGGTCTTTTGCTCTACTCTGACCTCACACCACAGGGTTTGATTAGTTGACTATTTGTGGGGAAGAGTGATGAGAGAGAAGAATTTGAAGCATGCCTTTAACATTCCCCTTTTCAAATGCTATTAAAGATAGTGAAATATCATTGGGAGAGTCATCCTTTGCAGCTTGGTGTGTGGACAAGGCCACCTAGCTTGCATCCTTGGGTATTTTAAAGATTAAAGGCACTGCAGTTTGGGGGGAATTGTGTTCCCATCTGGGACTTCCTGTGAGTACTTACAGGTACTTGCCAGAAATTTTCATCAGAAATGAGGGAATTCCTGTCATAGAAATTGTTTTCAGGATACATTTCCAAGGTAACTGGCACTCTACAAGGAGCCCAGCAATGCCAATTATTGAATCTTTGTAACTATGCTAAGTTTATTCATCTAATATACTATATATTAACCTCAGGAGTTTGGGACTTACACCCAGGGTCTTGAGAGATGTGTTAGCCCATTGCTATTAGAAGCCTAGCCCGTTGCTATTAGAACAAACCTACAGCTACTCACAGTAAGATTTATTTCTTGCCTATCTAGATATTATGATATATTCTGAGTATCATACAATTAAAAGGATCCATGAATCTCTGAGCCTTGCAAGAAACCATTTATTTGCATCAAATATATACGCAGCTTAAAATAAAAGGTAGCTTGCAAATGTACATCATATTAGGCATTACCTCACAGGGTGAAAGAATCCCTAGTTATTTGAAATTTCCTGTATAGCGCTTTATAACAGATTTGTAGTCCAGACCCTCACATCAAAGCAAGTCAAGAGCTTCTCATTTTCTATCTTTAGATTAAGTCATTGTATTCAGCATAGAAGAAGCTACGTTGACGTACAAGGAAACCTGAAATTTTAGTGGTTTAACACATGGGTTTGTATACAGAGAAAATGAGAAGGTGACAGGGAGTTGAACAATGTTTTTATAAAATGAAAGAAGGACAGAAGGAAAGTTATATATCTATACAGTTGGAATGGAGAGAGGAAGTGGAAGAAAATGTGACAAATGAATTAAAGTAGGATGGTTAGTGAATATTTGGACTCTGGATAAAGAAAAAAATATAAATGTGCTTGGATAAAGTTCTTCATCTTGCAAAAAACGAGTCATTTTTATCTGTCTACAAAAACGATTGGCATAAGCCTATGACTTAGAAATATTGTGGCAGATATCAGAAGAAACATCTCAAATCGTTACAAGGGTTATCTCTGCAAAATGGGAGTGGGAGGAGGGAGCAGTTGGGCAGAGTGGGGCAGGAAACATCTCGTATTTCATTATAAACCTTGAATATCTTTAAACTATGAATGTATATGAGTATGTATTATTTTGATGAAGTTTAATGAAAAAACCTAAAGATACATCTGGTAATTACAGCGTGAAAGATACATACCTATAGTCATGGATTAATAAGTTTTATAGTGTTTGGGAGGGTACTGAGTCATTTTCCAGTGATTTTTAACTTTTGAAATGAGAGGTTAGTATAGGTACAAAGTGTAGTGTGAAAGAAGACTTAGAGGCAGGGGAGGAATAAGGAATTGATGAATTCAAGATCAGGAGAAGTTAGATGGCACTATCAATGGGTAGCATAAACAAATTGACAAGAGACCTCCTCAAAGGGCAGCATACATTCCAGTCCATGAGTAAGTTGTTATATATCTTAGTTGTTTGTGTTTGCACAGCAGATGATTATTTAGTTGAAATAATGGAAGCTTGGAATTGTGTCCTGTATCCATGAGTCTTCGAAATAAGTGTTTGTCATTGTACTCTGCCCCAGACTCATTCTCATAAATCCTTATTTTCATTGGCAATTTCTTCTTGCACTTTCTCTTTATTTACAACCATCCCACCACCACCAGCAGTACAACAATAAAGACATAGAATAAATAATCACCTTTCACTCAAAGCTGGGAGAATTGGTTTTAAAATGAATCTGGAAGGGAATTTAGATATATAAATTGTAACTTTAATGATGGAAACGTCATTTTACAGCAGACTAGGTTTTCATTTATTTCAGTAGGCTTAGTTTGGGATAGGCATAGACTAAGCTTTGCATTGACTCTCAACTTTAGCATTCATCAGAAACAAGGGACCTTGTCATTGTCAGGTGGAGCCAGAGAGCTTCCAGGTGATGCCAATGTAACTAGTACAGGACCCACTCTGAAGACCTCTAGACTGAGTCTTTGATGTTTCTTGAAATCCCTGCTCACCATGCCCCTTGTTCTTTTAGAAACATATCACACTTGGTGAATACCTAAGAAGCTCTGCTTGGGCCAAGTGCTCCATAGTTTCAAACAGCTCTACTACTGTTTCTTTCTGAAAAGGTGTTGTTTTGGGTACAGTTCGTAGAATGTGTCCGATCCTCACTGAAAGCTGCCTCCAGAATGCCCTGCACGGACTGCTTTGCTGTCTTCCTAAAATCTTTTCCCATGAAGGCATATAGGAAGGGATTCAAGCAACTATTGGCAGATGCTAGAGCAATGGACACATGGTCCAGGAAGCGCAGAACTTCCCCAAAGGGAGTATCTGGGTCAATAAACAATGAGAGGACTCCAACAATGTGGTATGGGGCCCAGCAGACAAGAAAGACAACTACCACCACCATGGACACTCGCAAGGCTTTGTTCCGAGACTTGGTGAAGCGCCCTCGTCGCATTCGGAAGATAATGAGGCCGTAACAGGTCAGCATGGCAAACAAGGGCATCAGGAAACCCATCACTAGCCTAGAGATGGCCATTACTATCAGAGGTGTTGGGACTTGATTGTCATATGCAAAGAAGTCTTCACCATCATCCAGGAAATCTTGTGATAGCTCAGGCCTATAGAAGGTGTTACTAGAGGCAGTAGAGAAAAGCTCTAAACCGGTGGAGAGGAAAGTATTTAAGTTACTCATTGGGTTAGTTCTGTGATCATCAGTGGGAAGGCCAATGGGGGTTGTGGGTAAGATTTCAGCATCAGGTTTAATTAATTTATAATATGGATGTTGATTAGATAATCTAGCTGAGTCCACAGGGAGTGAATCTCCAGGAAGTCTTTGAAATGTTTGAGAAGGAAGGAGAGTCGTAGCTGTCCAAGGATGATCATTAGTTTGTAAAGGGAAAGCATCTGGGCTATGATTAATTTCTCCAGACAGCTGAATGATGGAGTCGTCAAAAGATCCATTTTCTGGTCCATCAAAGGTGAAGTTCAAATAGTCAAAGGAGCTATCGCCACCAAAATAGTAGCTACAGATATTATGGTCGTCTATAGTGAATGTTTCACGGTATATGAACACAGGTATACACATTATAAGAGCCACCGCCCAGATACATACACAGATAATGAAGGCTGCCCTCACATTGCGGTGATTCTGGCACCAGATCGGCTTGAGCACCAAAAGACAGCGGTCCAGGCTGATGGCAGTTAGCAAGAAGACACTGGCAAACATGTTGAGGATGATGATGGAGGGAATGAGCTTGCATAGGGGCCGACCATAAGGCCAGTGTCCTTGGAGAGCCAAGTGAGCCAGGGAGAAGGGCAAGGAGAGGCAGCAGAGGAAGTCTGCCAGCGTGAGATGGAGAAACCAAACGGTGCTCACTGTCCATTTCATCTTTACGCCAGCCACCCACAGCACCAGCCCGTTGCCTGGCAATCCCAATAAGAAAGTGAGGCTGAGGATGACCACGGAGAGAATTAGTTGGGGTTCACTCCAGGGCAGTGCCTGTAGGTCAGTTGAATCAGTCTCATTAAGGAAAGACTCCATTGCTAGACTTCTGCAAAAAGATGAACAGACCTGTTGAAAGTAACATTATCTTTTTAAAAAATCAGTACTCTTAGAAATCCAGCCTTCCCACATAATGATGTAGAACCACACAAGCCCCCTCACACTGTTTCAATTTGTATTCCTTGACTTCATATTGGATCACACAAAACACTCTCTGATAGACCATTTAAATTTACTGTACCAATTTAAATGTGTATCAAAATAGTAACCTCATTTGGAAGTTTATATCAATGTATATTCCTCCTTTTTCTTGCACTTTCAATCTCCCATTCTCCACTGGTTCCTTTCCTTACCCCACATTTTCTATTAAAAACAAACAAATGAGTCTAATGGACAAACAATAACTTCTATATCAGGGGTTTCCAACTTTAGATCCATGAAAGGGCTTTGAGGAACTCCATTACCACCTCAAATGATATAGAATATTTTAACTTTACATATTTTTATTTCCTTGAGAGCAAAAGAGTCATCTATTGCCTGCACCAGATTTTCAAAGTACTCATTCATCACTACAGAAGAAGGTGTTCTAGACTGAGCTATATCTTTAGATACAAGCTCAGCTTTTTCTTCTGCTGTCCAATTTCTCAAGAAATTGTTTACACTCTTGGCATTGATTTTCTCATCACCCACCATTTCTTTCTTATTTATCTATTTGGTATTGAATATAACAGGAATAATCACTTTATTTATAGAAGCAGAAAATATGCATGAAAAAATTTGGAAAATATAGACAAGTAAGAATAAGAAAATAAACATGTCATATTCCACCAGTCAGATTACTACTTTAGCATCTTAATTTACATTCTCTGGATCTTTCATGTTATACTATACTATATTATATTATATTACATTACATTAATATACACACTTGTATATATGTATGTATACTTTTCATTAAGCAAAGTTTAACAAACTTATTATATCATATATGTATATTTGATCTTAATAATTTTCAATTGTGGTAAAATACATGTAAATAAAATTTATCATCTTAGCTATTTTTAAGTGTTCAGTTCAGTAGTGTTAGATATACTCACATTATTGTGCAAAATCCAGGACTTTTTCACCTTGCAAAACTGAAACTCTATGTCTATTAGACAACTTCCTACTTGCCTCCCCACCAGCCCCGGCCACCACCCTTCTATTTTCTGTTTATGTTTATATTTAGAATTGTATAGCCTTCTCCTTTGTTGTGTGACTAGCTTCTTTCACTTAGCATAATGTCCTTAAGATTCATCCATGTTGTAGCGTGTGTCAGAATTTCCAACAGTGTGGTGATTGCTGGAGGAAGGCGGTATAGGGGGGCTAAAGGGTAATGGGAAAAAATACCATAAAAAGAATTTTCTTTGTTATTAAGGCTGAAAAACATTCTATTGTCTGTATAGACCACATTTTGTTTATCCACTCATCTCTCAATGGACATTTGAGCTGCTTCCAGCTTCTAGCTGTTGGGAACGACATTGCTGTGGACATGGGTGCAAATGCATATTGTTTTATGAATGGCTTTCTTTTTTTCGGTCAGCAGTCTCCCCATGATACAGCACAATTCACTGCAAGGAATACTCAATCTTTATTTAATTTTCCAAATGTCCCCAAGGTATCTTTGATAGACAATTTGTCCACAGTTTTATCCAATGCAGGATCATGCTTGCATCAGGATGTTATGTTTTTTAAGTCTGAATTTAACCTAGTTTCTGTTTTTCTTTTTTTAAATTTTATTTTAATTGTTGTTAAAGTACAGTTTTCTGTCCTTTACTCTCATCCCAGCCCACTCACCCATCTCTCCCCACCTCCCTCCCATTTCCAATCCCCTAGTTTTACAAAAACATGTGTCCTTTATATTTGTTCCTGTAAACCCTTCCCCTTTTGCTCTGAAATTCCCTCCCCTCTCCCCTCTGGCCACTGTCAGCCTGTTCTCTATTTCAGTGTCTTTGGTTATATTTTGCTTGTTTGTTTTGTTTTTTAGGTTCCTGTTAAAGGTGAGATTACATGGTATTTGTCTTTCACCACCTGGCTTATTTCACTTAGCATAATGCTTTCCTGTTCCATCCATGCTGTTGCAAAGGGTAGGAACTCCTTCTTTCTTTCTGCTGCATAGAATTCCATTGTGTAAATGTACCATAGTTTTTTGATCCATTCATTTACTGATGGGTGCCTAGGTTGCTTCTAGCACTTGGCTGTTATAAATTTGGTGCTATGAACAGTGGGGTGCATAGGTTCTTTTGGACCTAGTTTCTGTTTTTCAAAGATACTGGCTTGTTTGGGGGCTTGTTGTTTTTACCAGTCACTTCTCAAATCATGAATTTGCCTTCTACTTGGATCACTTTGCTGAAATTACCTCTAAGTAAAATATCCAAGCATCTTTTTTTCTGTTTCCATCCTCCAGAATATAATACACATCATTCGATATATTAACCTCTCAACACTCTCTTCTCTTGACCTCTGTGACATTAGCCTCCCCTAATTCTCATCATTTCTAAAAACATCCCTTCCTTTGTAGTTTTCCTGAAGAGCTCAATGTTCCAAGTTAATGCCATTTTCTGTTCCTTGGCTTCTATCTGCACCTGTTTCCTTTATCTTAACCTCCTCTCCTCTCCATCTTTAATCTCTGCCTGTTAAAGTCTAGCTATTCTTCAAGATCCAATTCAAATATCATGTTTTCCCTGGAACCTCCTCTAATAATCACAATCAGAAGTTAGTTCTTCAGCCTCTTATATTTTTTTGAGTGTGTTGTTTGAACCTCTTTTCTTTTTTTTTTAAAAGATTTTATTTTATTTATTTTTAGAGAGAAGGGAGAAAGAGAGGGACACAAACCTTAATGTGTGGTCACCTCTCACATACCCGCAACTGGGAACCTGGGCAGCAACCCAGGCATGTGCCCTGGCTGGAAATGGAACCAGCGACCTTTTGGTTTGCAGGCCAGTGCTCAACCACTGAGCCACACCAGCCAGGGCTGAACCTCTTTTTTGAATTCTCTGTGAAATGATACGTTTTATCTTGTATTGTAATTATTGTGGTGGCTGTTCTATTTATCATTGGCCTTAAATTTCATGGTGGAAAAAAAATGAGTCTTGTCCCTAAATGCTTGTTCCACAGAATTTAGCACAATGCCTTATATGACATAAAGATTAAATATTACTTGAATGGATGGATGTTCATTTGGGGGAGGATATTACTTTTTCTTTTAACTAAGATTAAACATCTAACTTTATCTACTTTAATACAGTCAGAATGCTCTTTTCTAACTTCCTTTTTACTTTCTAGTTCCCAGTTCCTAGGGGCTATAATAACATTTTATCTTTTCCTTCCAGAGGCCACAAATATTTTTGCAACAAGGAAATAGTTCTGCTGAGTTAATAAAATGTCCTCAGAGGGTTTTGAATAATTAGCAGAAGCTAAAATAATTGAGTCAGCAACGTAATAATTTTAAAATGTTATTCTCATTCCCTTCTCTGTAGCCTCACCTACTCAAATATTCAAGTGCCACCTTGTTGTGCCTGGCAGAGACCCTGACCCTCATCCCTCTCCAGCACACACATCCATGCACAGATCCTGACCCTGACCCCCGTCCCTCTCCAGCACACACATCCATACACAGATCCATAAAATACTGAGGTGAGGATAGAGTTACAGAATGCTAGGACTGAAAGCAAACTTAGCAATCCTTTCGCCTTGTCTCTACTTTTATTTTGCAGTTTTTGAAATTGATACTCAGCAACTTAGTTGACTTTTACACATACACCCAGAAGGGCTCTCAGATGCTGAGTCCAACGACTGCAGGCTGATACTGTTTTCATTCTGAAGAAGCATCTAACTGACAAGCCTTTGGTACCATTAACAAGGGGAAAGGCACCGAGAACCATACAAATTGAAGTATTAAAGACTGACAAAAGCAAAATTCCAATATAAAGCAATTGAATAATCCAATAGGAGATATTTTAAATATTACATAGTATCTGCCTTGAAATGAAAGTATGTATAAATCAGAGTTTTAGAGTCTTTCAGAACATGATCTCTTTTTTTGACTCTCCAAGTATTTTGACTAAAATATATCTCTACATTTAAGAAAAATAGAGAATTTTTAGTTTTATTTTGAATACTAGTTTGACTGACAATAACTTAAAATGTAAGTAAAATTTGAAACTAAAATTCAACTATGACAGGAAAAGCAAATTCCAGAATCAAATTCTAATTATAGGACAACAGTCAGTAGCAAGAAGGAATAAGTAAAGTGACAAATACAAATAAGACAGAGATATAATAAGAATATATATACATACATATATATAGTAGGTAATCAATGATTTGGAAAACAAAACTATTGGAGGAGACTATATACATATATATAGTAGGTAATCAATGATTTGGAAAACAAAACTATTGGGGGAGACTGTAATCAAAGGTCAGAAGGAGAAACATAACCAACCTCTTTAAGAGAGGGGAAAATGACATAAAAATTCACTATTAGTTTAGAATGAATGTATTAAGAATAAAGATAAATAGAGAGTGGAATATTTAGAAGAAGAAAGGCACATGTGGGGAGAAAACAAAAGAAATATAAGTTGGGAAGGAATAAGTAGAAATAGAAGAGAATGATCCTCCAACCATGAAGTATAATAAGGAAAATAAGCTACCTGCTAGTCTTTGGGGATGCAGGGTTTCTTACCAGAGACTTGGGACAGGAGCTGAAGACTTCAGCACCAATCTGGGGGCCTCCACAAGTCCCGTTCTGTCTTCACACTTAACCACAATCAAGTCATGAAGTATATTTAGGAAATTTGCTGAGATGTTTTTTTTTCGTCTCTCTTCGTTTGTGTTACTAAGTGAAATGCCACACATTTGACTACTCTTTGACTTCACAGGAAGAGTTTCGAAATGAGTCATTTCTAAACATACCGGGTAAAAAAGTAAGAAACAGAAGTGGGCAAGCATCCTTCTCATAAAGTTTTTGCAGGACAGAGCATGGTTAGAAAGAGCTTCTTTATGTAAGCTACTCACTTTGTAAATGTTTTTTCCTGTTTTTGTTTGTTTGTTTGTTTTAGAAATGCATCAAAATGACCTATGATATACAAGGGTCGTGGACAGGAATGGGGGCGATGACCTGCACAATCCCATGTAATTAATCTCAAGTAACATCTCTTAAATGCTTAACATGTTTAAAGAAATATGCCATGCCAAAATCAAATAAATTAAACTATGTTCTTATCTGCTGAGACTCACAATCTTGTAGAAATATGCACCCATACACGCACACACAAACAGTAATGAAACCCAGACAAGGATGACATAAATACCAATAGAAGTAAAACTGTAGAATATAATAGTAAAACCAAAACACTGGTCTGGCTCCCTGCAGCACGAAAGCCAATACTCAAGGGGCAGATGCTGATGTAAAAGAAAAAGTGGTTTATTTTCAGGTGCCAACATCCTGGAAGATGAGGGAACTCGTGTCTCAAAGCCCATCTCCTGGGCAGAGTTCTTTTTCTTTTTTTTAGATTTTATTTATTTATTTTCAGAGAGAGGGGAAGGGAAGGAGAAAGAGAGGGAGAGAAGCATCAGTGTGTGGTTGCCTCTCACGTGTCCCTGACTGGGGACCTGGCATGCAACCCAGGTATGTGCCCTGACTGAAAGTGGAACTGGCAACCCTTTGGTTCACAGGCTGGTGCTCAATCCACTGAGCCACACCAGCCAGGGCCAGGCAGAGGTTTGTATAAGGAGTAAGAAGAGGAGCAGAACAAAGAGATCAAGGGGGGCAGGGGTTGAAAAGTTCTCTCTGTGCAGGTGAGCACAGTCCATTCCGATAAGGCAAGTGATGGTCCGGTGTGCATCATCCTGATTTAGCCATCCTGGCTCCACGTCATCTTGACTTTATGTCATCCTGGCTCCACGGGTGAATGGTCCAGAGCTGAGATGCTTGAAGGTCGGAGTTCATATCTTTTGAAGTTAGTTCCTAGGGTTCTCTTGATTTAAATTGTTGTTCAATTACAATTAACTCTATTTTCCCCCCATTACTCTCCCCTGTCCTGTCCACCCCTGACCTTCCACATTCAGTCCTCCCCCCAACCCCCCATTGTCTTTGTTGGTGGTTCTTTATACGTGTTACAACCATGTTGTTCATCTATAAACTACATATTAGTCAAAATCAACACTTACAGAAATAATGTGACAAGAATGGTGGGATGGGTTACAATGTCCCACCATTACAATTTTCCACTGTTACAACAGATCTGGATGTACTTAGCCTGGGGCAATCTAAGAAAGTCTTATGGTAGAAATAAGATCTGAGCATGTCCTTAAAAAAACTACAGGAATCCTATAGGCAGAAAAAGAAAACAAGCTGTTTAGAGTGTGTAAGTGGAGCACAGTCAGAAGCAGGTTGATGGGAGAGTGATTTAAGCATTGGGGTACGAGCAGGAGTCTGGGGAATTAGACTGTGTTTCATCATGAAACAGAGCATAAGATTGAAGGGGGACCTTGAGCAATGATTCCTGCTCAAACTATATATCACAAAGAATTCTCACCCATATCATTTGTGTACACATATGCATATGAATTAAAGTTTATTTGGGTCAAAAAATATTTGAACATTCTTGCCTGTGGTAAGGGCTTCAATCCACATTCATCAACTTATTGTCCAAACAACACTATCTGCTCCTCTGCTTGTTTGCAGTCAAATCACTTTGAAATGGCTTTGGCGGGGAAGACCCAAGAAAAATGGCAAGAGTTGAGTTTTATTGTTTTATCTATTTGTTTATTTCCACTGCTATTATCTGATTATCAGAGTAACACATATTTATAAAGAAGATTAATTGAAATAATACAGAAGTATAAAGGGTAAAAGAATGAAAGATTTTATTTTCAATTCTACTGCCTGGGAGTAACTACTTCAAGGTTTGTTTTACATCTGACAATCCCATTTGATCAGAGGGAGAGAAGCTGAAAGTGCATTTCAAGCAAAGGGGAAACATGAGCACATATTAAGGTGGAGGTGAGCCCAACATGAGTGAATGACTCAGTAAAGTGGTTTGGTTGGAGTAAACAGGACACACTAAGGACTAGTGAAAGGTAAGTAGGAGGCCTGAGTTAGGATCCCAGTTCCACCACTTACTAACTGTATGACTGACTGTACAGAAGTTATTCAAACTCTGTATTTTTATTTCCTCACCTGCAAAATGAGGACTGTGCCAATATTGTTCATTGATACCTGAGCCCATTCCCATCTTTCCATACTATTTCTATACTGGAAGCCCGGGTGATACCTTTCCTCGAGTTTCTCCCCAGTGGGGTCTGAAAAGGCTCTGCCAGAGGGGCATGGTCACATGCTGTCAGAAAGTGAAGGGAAAGGGGAATGAATCATTGCATTTGATGCTGGAACTTAGTTTATGCACAGAGATTGCAAATCTATTTTACAAGTAAAAGAACAAAAACTATAGAAGAGAATAGACATTAAAACTATTAAAAATGAAAGAGAGAAAGAGAGAGATTGAGACTGAAAGGGAATCATTTAGCTTTTGGTTTCTGAAGGGGCAGAAAAGTCGGGTGGACTCCTGCAGTGGAGATGCAGTGTGGCCAGGCAGCTGCGGGCAGTTGCAGCCTCTGGCAGGATTAGTAGTTTCAGCAGCAGCCACAGGCCTGGGAGTTCCTGGATTTTAGCTAAGCAGCAGAAAAAAGCCCCCAGCCTCAAAGACAATTTAACCATTCTAGATAATACCTTTTTCCACTTTTCTCTTCCAATTTTAGGCAAGCAGCCTCCTGCAGTTTTATCATCTTCTCATTTATTTTTCTAGTCCTTCCCATACTTTTGTGTCCAAGTCCTTGTATTAAATACCCTGTTTGAAGTACCTACAATGGTTTCTATACTCTTGGCTGGGCAATGACTAAATCAAATATTTGCTGCTCCTACTCTATAGGATTATTAATGTGAATAAATTAATACATGCAAAGCATGTAAAACAGTGCTGGCATTCAATAAATGTTAGCAATTATTATGTCGAAAAACTAATGTGGCTTTTAGTTACCCATTAACAGCACAACTAGTCCCTCATCTTGGACATGTTATCAAGTTATCAGCAGAACGTTCCCTTCCCGTTCTGTCAAATCAAATTCCAACACATGGCCCTCAATGATGCAGATTAGACGTACTCACTGCGCTCTATAACATAACTGCCTAACTATGCACATAGTTACAGTAAAACCAAGTAGGAACACAAATTGAAGAGCAAAGCCACCCAGAAACTAAAGTAATTCCATTGAAAATTAAATTAAAAAACTATATAAGGACATACCATCTGATATACTTATAACAACAAATGTACAGTGCACTTATGCTTAGATTTTGAAGAAATCAGCCATATTTGGCATAAAAAATTATTCAAATCTGAATGGCTTAAAGAAAATTTAACCAACTTTGCTTCATCAAATAATTTTTTGGCTATTGCTTTTCTATTGTAGTATGTATCTAGGACAGCCAAGGAAGGGAGACTGAAGGGGTAGTAAACTGAGTTTAATGAACACTTTTTGTGAGTTTAGTTACAAAAAAATGGAAGTGGACAAAGGCATGGGGCTTCTGTTTGCGTTTATCTAATCTAATGAGAAGAGATAGGAACTTTGCAGGGAGAGGAAAGGGCTCAGAACCATTGAGGGGTAGATGGCTCTCATAAATTTTGTAGGTCTAGATAAATTTTTGAGTAAATTTTGATACTTTAGGTTAGCGATCCTGTTTGTGGATTATTTAGAAAAGGTCTTCATTTTCTTTCTCCTTTGCCTCTCCTTCCCCATTTCATGTCTAGGAGTACACATGTAAAAGAATGTGGTGTTACACAGATGTCCTGGGTTAGAAAACTGTCCATTTTCACCCTCTGTGTGGCGAAACACCCAGTTCTTCACCTCTAATGTGTTTCCTTTACTTTTACGCAGTTGATACCACTCTGACACTCTAATAACTAAATGTGTGGGTTTTTATATTTCCTGCACCACAATTCTGTGACACCAGCTGCATTTCACAGAATTTAACTCAATTCTAACATGATCTGCAGATAGTGTCAGATACCAGATTTTATGGCCTTGGTCCCCCAAGACTGTCCATCCCCCACCAAAGATGCCAATCTCAACTACCAGGTCCCCAGGTTAGCTACAACTTCAGCTCTTCTTCACTACAAATCAGAGGTTTCCATACTCACCCCCTGCCCCTGGAGTTGAGTGGCTCACAGGACTCAGGGAAACACTTCCTTACATTTACCAGATTACTAAAGGACATGATAAAGGACAAGGTGGACAGACAGATGGACAGATACATAAGATGAGGTCTGGGAGCGTCGGGATCACAGGAGCTTCTGTCCACGTGGAGCTGGGGATGCATCACTCTCCCAGTGTGGGTGTGTTCACCCCCCTTGAAGCTCTCCAAACCCTGCACTTTTGAGATTTTTTGGAGGCTTTATTATGTAGATATGATCAATCATTAACTTCATTTTCAGCCTTTTTCCCTTCTCAAAAGAGTTTGGGGCAGAAGATGGGACCTAAAAATTTTAAGTTTCTAATCATGGCATGGTCTTTCCACTGACTGACCAACCCTCATCCAGTAACCACCTGGCAGCCCACCCTGAGTTGCTTCATTAGAACAAAACATACATCCATCATTTAGAAAATTACAAGGCTTTCAGGAGCCCTGTGTCAGGAATGGGGGTCAAAGATCAAATATTAGAACAAGAGATGCTTCTAGTGCTCTTATTAGTTAGGAACTTACAAGGGTTTTGGAACCCTGAGTCAGGAACCAGGGGAAGGGACCAGGATATAAATTTCTTATTATAA